GGGTGAGCGCTCTCTACACTCTCTGCTTGTGTTGCTCTCTGGCTCTCTGATGATAAGTTTAACATGCGTGAGGTTGATGAGGTGTTGCTGATGGTTCCTGTGTTTGACACATGTCTCGATGTATTTTTTTTTTATGAGATATATACAAGAGTTGTTACATTCTTGTACAGCCACTAGTACGCGTAGCGTTTCGGGCAGGTCCCTGGAATACGATCCCCCGCCGCGAAGAATCGTGAATCGTATCAGTAACTTCGCATATATTTATGGTGGTAATTGTGTCATCTGTATCCGGATGCTTCACGTATATTTTGTCCCAATTGTTATAGGGTATAATCTCCCTATCGCCCCTCAAGATCCAAGCAAGTGCGCCACTCAAAATCTTTTTCAATAGGGAACGAGCCATCGATCTCATTCTGCTTTTGGTAGTGTTAATGACCCGTGTCGCTGGCCAGGAGACTTGGTACTCCAATCACTGTCACTGGATATTATCAACTCCTGCGACGAGTAGAGATTGACTAGCGCGTACTGGACCGCCATGGTTAGTGTGTCCATCTCTCCTATCTTCACCCTATACGGGGGCGGACAGGTGGGATAGCTGCACTCCTCACCACGACGTGCCATAGGATAGGAGTCTGGATGGAGACATCAGTAACAGTTCTTGCTGGCTTATTAATGGTTTACTGGCAGCTCTTAAGTTTACTGTCGTCTCCACATTTCTTAAATGGATAGAGCAGGGATTAATTCCCCTGCCACATCTTCCCCTGCCACATCTTCCCCTGCCACATCTTCCCCTGCCACATCTTCCCCTGCCACATCTTCCCCTGCCAGATCTTCCCCTGCCACATCTTCCGCTGCCACATCTTCCCCTGCCACATCTTCCCCTGCCACATCTTCCCCTGCCACATCTTCCCCTGCCACATCTTCCGCTGCCACATCTTCCCCTGCCACATCTTCCCCTGCCACATCTTCCCCTGCCACATCTTCCCCTACTACATCAGCATCATCCCACATACAGTGCCAGCAAGATGATGGGGCGTCGTTTGAGCAGTGTGTGACTGTTAGAGTTTGATGTGTTTGTCATGTATGGAGCTTCGATCTCCGCCCCGCCAGGTGTTCCCGCTTCTGAACTGAGCTCGGGACTGAGCTCAGCTTAGAAGCCCAGAACTCGAGTTGAACTTAGAAGCTCGAAACTCGAGCTTCCGAGCAGCCTGCGGATAGCAGCCTCCGGATAGCAGCTTGTGGATGACAGCCTCCGGATAGCAGCCTGCGGATGACAGCCTCCGGATAGCAGCCTGCGGATGACAGCCTCCGGATAGCAGCCTGGGGATGACAGCCTCCGGATAGCAGCCTCCGGATAGCAGCTTCCAGATAGCAGGCTCCGGAACCGTGGTGCCATCTGCTTCCTAAGGAAGTTCTCTTACTTATACCCAATGAAGGTAAAATTAAAACGCCGGGTGCATTAAATCCCTTGAGCACAATTGTTACTGAATCACTCGAAACATAACAAGCTCCCCAAATCTTTATTCATGTAACTCTCTTACAAGTATTTGATGAAGGTCTCTTAAGATGTGGTATAAGGCGTTGGTTTCTCGTGGCAACAATCATTATCATACTCTGTGCAGTTGTATGAAGATGTGATTGATTGTTTTAATTGTTGCCGCCGAAGGGGGCTAGTTTATTGTGCACCCCATACTCATCCTGTGAGCGGTAGCGCAAAAGCATTACAGAGGGCACAAAAGGTCTTTATCAGACCTCATCTTAGATTATTACATAAACAATTTCATCTATCCTTCACACCTTATAGTTACAATGTCAGCTAGTTACAGAGAAAGTGCTATTACAAGAGCTACATATTTACAGTAAGTCATCATACATTAATGGTAGGTCTTATCGCTAATACATAATAGTTTGACCAATGGGGATATTACAGAGTCATAGGGGAGCTTCTGTTTATTATTAGTCCTCACAATACACTACTTGTTTCTTCATCTCATATGTCGTTCATCTACTGGAAGCGAAATGTGGATACAGTGCAAGGATTTCAGGTAATTTATCCATGGTAATGAGATAGGTTGCCATATCATACAGAGTGAGCTTAGATTTATCTCTAAATGGCTCAATTTAATCCAAAATATAGTGTTCGAGTGTGTGTCCCTGTCTTTGTCCACACACTTTACTTCATCTAGATCCCAATACAAGCCGAACTGCCAGAGATACTTGTAGCCAAGTCTTATACGAGCTGTGACAACATCTGTTAGTCTACTGACGTTGTTACTTGCCCCATACACATGTTTTACTTCACACATTTCATTGTGATGAACAATGGACCTGCTAGTTCCAGTTTGCACAGTTCTAATTTCTTCAAATTTATCCAGGAGTTCTCGTCTAATGACACTTTTAAGGGACCTATTTGATAACTCAAGATTCCGTTCAATACTGTCTTTATTTACTGCAGCCTTAGCAAGGGCGTCAACTTTGTCATGTTCCTGCATGCCAATGT